TTATTGTTCACTGTGCCACTGACGAATGGGTTCGTTGAAATATAAATTATTTTGAATAAAATAAGTTCAATTCACTTTTACACGTCGTATATTCGACACCGATGGAATCACAACCCGATAATGAGCAGTAAAGCAGACCGAAATTCACCAAAAAATTTAGACAAAGAGCACATATGAGCTTTCTGTCAAAGAAAATTATCCTGAAGTTGATTTTCTGCGGGAATCTTGCAGAAAATATATTCTTGATGCTATTTATCTATTTTTGTCAGAAAGAGGGATAATATGACTCAACTGTTCGCATTGCTACCACTAATCAATAAATATACATGCATCGCGGAGAGGAAATCTTGAGAAATTCATCTTTTTAAATTTTATTTGTATATAGGTTGTACGAAAGCGAGAAAAAATATTTTTCAGCAGAAAGACGCAAAAATACAGTGGAAAAAAATTGGCAGAAAGGATCCGAATTTAGCGGGTGTGGGTGTGGGTGTGACTCAACAGAAGACCCACACCCTTCCAGCATACGTGAATCTCTACAAATTGAACCACTACTTCTTCATATTGAACATTCACAATTACGATGGTTAGGACATGTCCTAAGAACGCCGCAAAAGCGATTACCGTACCAAATATTCCAAGCTAAGCCAACGGGAAAAAGACCAGCCCGACGACTAAGAACAAGTTGGCACAAATACATCGAAAAACTTAGCCAGGAGCGTCTAGGGCTCCAATGGTTCGAGGTACAACAAGTGGCGAAAGATCGAAACCGGTGGAAACTACTACTGAACGGGCTTAAGCCCCAACCCGAACGGACAAGGGGAAGAAAATGAATGAATGAAAAGTAGTGTTAGAAATCGAACTGAATTTATGAAAAAAAAAATTGATTTTAGGAATGGAATTAAGTTTAGATGATCGTGATAAAGAATTGATTGAATCAATTTCTGTAAATAGAATACAATTTTCTTCTCAATCTGATGTCTGTACCTATCTTTATTCGAAAACAACCGAGAGGACGAAAAGCATGAACGTTCGAGAACTGATAACTAGCTAGCAGAGTTTTTGGCAGATTGGTCCAATCCACTTGTTGAACTACTGAAAAATCCATTCGTTACACGAGAAATAGTATTCTTCACTGAAAATTGAGATACTATTGTCACGACAGATCAGAGATAACACCAAAAGTTTCTTTTGAAGATGCATACGTGACGCTGCGAGTATGTAAAAGTATCTCTACTTATTTCTTGATATTATTTTGAAATTCCTTATAAAATACGTAGATAAATTTTCTTTCGCCCAATGATTTTGTGAAGGTGGCAATCTGAATTGAATAATGGATTCAACTCTTGTTTATTCTTCAACAGTAAGTTACTTGTCTTTGACAACACTTCTTCGAACATAAATCTTAATCTGTTCATCGTTCACTATTGATAATCTGTCTGAGACACAATTGCCTTCGTAAGATATTTGTCGCCATGCAAAAAAAATGTCAGAGAATTTAACGGTTGGTGACATATATTAGACAGAATCTTTTTCTTAGTGAGGGATAGTTTGCCACTATTTCAATCATCTATAGAAAATATTTTGAAGATCTATCAATGTTTTTCGTCTGTTATAGTCATTTATTGAGTTCGAATTTGATGGCATTCGCAAGAACGAAACAGGGTTTTTGTTTCTATTTCTTATACATTAAGATATTGACGAGAGACGATGACATCTTGATTCTACGTGAACACGTAACTATAGAAGTACAAGTAAATGCACATCAAAACTCATTCTATTTCATAAGACCCTTCATTCAGTCTAAGATCAAAGACAGCTTCAGCAAAGTTCTTCGGAAATATTAATTAATTACGTTCGAGCTCTACAAAAATAAATATAAGAACTTAGGTTGACGAATACGGAGTCCATATAGGCCCGTGTATGTTCCATATTTTGCCGTGTTACATGGCCCCGTATTACGATCGTATATCTCTGTGACTGTATACGGTTTCGTATGTGAAGACAGTATGCGATCATTTTTTGCCTCTGTATACGGTAGTTTATGATCGTACCTGTTTGACCTGGGAAGTGTTTTGTTTTATTAGTATTGTGATAAATAGAAAAAAAAGCAGAAAAGTTGAAAAAACAAGAAAAAAGCATGTGTTGTTATAAAATAAACAAAAGTTCTAGGGATTTCGGAGCATTTGTTTTTTCTTTTACAGTGTCGACTCTAACTCCACTGTTTTATTGATGCCCCATCGGTTACTTCAATATGATTTAATGGTCCTTTATAGTACAATGTTGCAATATCACGGAGTTTCGCATTGATTGCTTGTGTTGCGCATACATAAAAAACTGAAATATCACTTCCATCAAGAATATTCACGATTTTTGGACAAGATGATATTTGGTTACAGGTCATTGAGATATTACTATTTCCTGTTGCTGAAAGTACTGTTAACTGATCTGACACACAAATATTGCATACTTCTGCATTTTTCGTAGCAATGATATTAATCAGTTTTGGACAAGCAGATGATAATTTCATTGAAATTTTTCCATTGCCATTTGCTGCAATATTGAGTTCTTGAGTTGAACAAACATCATATATTTCACTGTTATCCTCAACAGTGACATTGGCGCAGGAAGGACAGTTGGAGAATTGTGTGTTATAATTAATCCGTTGATTGTATTTGGTCGTGATAGCCGATGCTTGACCTATTGGACACGTTGCAGCAACTGCATCAATAGTTGCAGCAATGGAACCAGTGATTGCAGTAGCAGCTAAAAGTCAAGAAAGAATCAGTTTAGAGATGGATGTCGATATAGATGTGAAGTGTGGGCATTGATCTCAGCCATAAAGACTGAGATCCACATCTATCCATCAACAGTAGCTCAGACTTTTTTATTTATCAATGTAGATAATGTGTGAATGTATCGTGCAGTCCTCATGCTACTATTATTACAGCATCCTAGAAAAACACATTCCAGCTTACTAATGATATTAGTTCTTTGTCGACAATTAACATGAGTGTCATATGAAAGATTACTCTTCAATTTTTATAAACGAATCCTTTCAAAATTCTCAAATCTTATTGAAGTTATATGCACCATTCCGTATATCATAAAGATTTTACAAAGCACTATTATCACGCAACAATAAAAATTTTAGACAGTTATGCAATCGACCGAATCTGTGGCACTTTACTGTAATCGTATAGGTTAACCGAAAAGTTGTCGCGTTAAGCAGTTTGGACCACAAACATAAACTATCAATCAAACGTATGCATAAAGGCACAGATAAGAACTCATTTCACATTGATATAGTAACTGGTGGGCCAGATTAAATGGCGCACTTTTGTTTGTCGTCTTTGAGGTACTTAGAAATGATTTTAAAATCCAGTTTGGACTTCATTTGATAGAGAATTCATTGCTCTAAAAATTGGCCTATTCTGCTTTTCAAATAAATTTTTCTTGTCGGCGAAAAATTTGAACGATGAATACCTACTCAATCGTCCAACTGCGATTTCCCATTTTTCTGCAGATATCTATCGATTTGTGTCAGCCTTTACTCATCAAATCTGACGCTAAAAGTAATGTATTTAGCATCAATGGATAGATAATGTTGTGTTCTGCACTTCCACCACGTTTTCCAGGCCCATAGTACTATCTCTCAGAAGAAAACGCTTGAAACCGACACTTGCCGATATTTTTGGGTGCACTTTGGAAAACCATCTTTTTAAAAGCCAGACTTACTGTATGAAAGATTTTATTCTCGTGCCGTCGGATATAAGATTTAATTCTAAACTGAGTGGTATAACTGTTACATTGTACCTTGAAAACATTTTGACTGTTTCGAATTATAAAGGAACAGTGGCATAGGTCTATCAGAAAACGATCTTTTTTCGGTGTTTTCACATGTTTTACTTCAAAAGTTTTTGTCTCAAATATTTCTTCTAAAATTCTGAAATATGCATCCAAACATGTAGAATTATATGGAGAATTTTGTAGCATACTTGAAATTTCAACGGAAACTTTATTAAAAATTTCTCATCATTTTTTGGGTTTTTTGACGGTCGCAGTTGGACGATTGAGTAGGTATTCATCGTTCAAATTTTTCGCCGACAAGAA